AAAAGTGGTGTCATTCTCGACACAAGTAGAAGAAATCTCAACTGATACACTTGGTCATCAATTGAGAAAATTCTGGGAAGAGGAAGAAATTCCTTCAACTCCACAAATTACAAATGAGGATCAAGCTTGGGAAAACATATACAAGCAAACAACAACTCGTGCCCCAAACGGTCGGTATATTGTGCGGCTTCCATTGAAGGAAGATTTTCCTGCAAAACTTTCTTTAGACCACTCCCGGTACGCAGCCCTTCAACAATTTTTCAGTATGGAGCGCACGCTAAAGAAAAAAGAAGAGTTAAACATAATGTACAACAATGTGTTGCATCTTGACCTCAACCACATGGAATTCACCTACCCGCGTGAAATAATCTCCAGTGGTAACTATCACTCATTCTACTTGCCACATCATGCGGTTGTAAAACCGGATAAATTGACCACTAAAGTTCGAGTGGTGTTTAACGCCTCAAGAAAATCGAGCTCGGGCAATTCGCTTAATGATGTTTTGCATACTGGTCCTACTCTCCAACCAGACCTCATGCTGCTCATTCTTCAATGGCGCATGTACAAGTTTGTATTCAATGAAGATATTGAAAAAATGTATCGTCAGATATTGATTCACGACGATGATAAACAGTTTCAGCAGATCATATTTCGTAAATCGGCCGAAACTACTGTCACAGATTACTGCCTGAAAACTGTTAGATTTGGGGTCAATTGCACACCATACCTTGCCATCCGTACATTGCATCAACTTGCAACGGATACTGCGGCAATACATCCACTGGCTGCACCAATAATAAGAAACCAAACATATGTCGATGATATTATATTTTATTCGGTAGCAACAATATCCCAGAGAGGATCTGCTCGATTCAAACTTTCTGAAATTCGAGAGTGCTTCTAAAACCAAAACTCTCGGTATCCAATGGAACGCTCTAACAGATAAGTTTACCTACACAATTCTGCCAGCTATTTCAGCAAATGCGGTCACTAAGCGACAAACTCTATCGTCGGTTGCAAAACTTTTTGACCCGGCAGGATGGCTGTCGCCAGTTATGATTCAAGCAAAAATTCTGTTGCAAGAACTCTGGCTAGATGGCACTGATTGGGATGAATGCGCTAGACCCACAGCTTTGTCAAAATGGCACACCTATGCAGAAAATCTGCCTACCATTTGCGCAATTGAAATACCACGCTGCGTAAATTTCCCTCCGGGACAAGACACCCAAATACACGGGTTTTGCGATGCTTCGGAGAAAGCATATTGTGCAACAATTTACATCCGCACACATGCTGACAATGAAATAACGTTCACCCTTCTGGTTGAAAAGGAAAGGTAGCACCGTTGAAAACGGTAAGCTTACCACACTTAGAGCTGTGTGGCGCATTACTTTTAGCAAAACTGCTTCAGAAACAACTCAGTTTACAAGCGTGCAACATATTTCTATGGTCAGATTCTGAGATCGTAATGGCATGGCTCGAGAAGCCACCATGCACATGGAAGACCTATGTATCAAACCGCACCTCTCAAATCCGAGAATATGTTCCAAGCGGTACATGGCGTCATGTTGCAAGCGGAGATAATCCCGCAGATCTTGGTACACGCGGCTGCAAGCCGCAGGACTTAGCTGCCAATTCACTTTGGTGGCACGGACCGAAGTGGCTCTCCTGCCAAATTCAAAAGCCCGCAGCGCTTCTCCGCCAGAAAGGCGTAAGATAGAAGCATATCACGCAAATGAAGATGATCCCGACTATCTAGATCGTTTCTCCTCATACTCTCGAGCAATCCGCGTGACTGCATACATGTTCCTTTCCCTGGACAATGTTCGAAATAAGTCCAAGGGGCAACCATTACTCGCCTTGCCACATCTGACAGATATTGAATGCCAAGCCGCAAAGAAGCGCATCATCAACATTTCTCAGAAGTGAATCTATTTTTGGAAAAAGATGGACTTCTTCGTGTGAATGGTAGATTGGCACATTCCATGCTGAGCTACAATGAAAGACACTCAATCATAATTCCAACTAAATCAAGGTTCTGCCAACTAAATTTGACGTTTATGCAAGAACTGCTTCTTCACGCAGAGACACGTTTGATGCTTCAAATGGTCAGGCAAGAGCTCTTCACTCCGAAGTTCAAGCCTCTGATTAAACAGCGCATTTTTCAATGTAAGGCATATACGCTTTACAAGTAAAAGACACGCACACAAATAATGGCCGCTCTACCCCCTGAGTGTTGTACATTCACACTCCCATTTTCTACAACGGGAGTAGAGTTTGCAGGGCCATTTCAGATAAAAGCTTCAGTCTTGAGGTCGAGCACCTATTTCAAAGGCTATGTTGCAGTCTTCGTCTGCTTTGCAACGATGGCCGTGCATCTTGAGCTATGTCCAGATTTGACAACTGAAGTATTTCGAGCAGCGTTTGCACGTTTCGTCGGTCGACGAGGATTTCCATCCAAAATAATGGGCGACAACGGCAAAACGTTTAAGTCAACGCGACCTCGTTAAATTCCTTAACAAAAGCTCTGCCAACATAGTCCAAAAATATGCTCCACAAGGCATAAATTGGCACTATTTTTCTCCCAGCGCAGCGCCGCTGCATCCCATAAGTTTACGTTCTAGGATTTTACCACACTATTGGTGTGAATTGAGCCAGTTCTCAACTCGAGACCTCCATCAGCTATCTCGCAAGACACCGCTGACCTCACTGCACTTACTCCTGGTCATTTTATCTGAGATGCACCGCTTATGGCCATCCCCTAGCCAAACGCAACAGATCTTTCATTGACCAATCGATGGGAGAAGCAGTCCTTCACCACGAATTCAGTCGATGCTGGAAGGAGAAATATCTCAAAGATCTTCAGAAGAGATACAAGTGGAAGAATCCACAGCGTGATCCTCAGCCAGGCGACTTGGTAGTAATCAAAGTAGACCCACTACCATCCATCGAGTGGCGACTCGGTCGAATTGAAGATGTTCGCCGTGGACTTGATAATTACATTCGAGTATTGGATGTACGTACCCAAAACGGGGTTATCACGCGCCCTCTTGTCAAGTTGTGCTTTTTTCTTAATGAGCACCCTTAGCTCACAGGATAGCATAACCGAAAATAAAACAAAACCTCCATTTGTTTCAAGGAAAATATATCCATCCAGTTACCCCTAATACTGTCCGCACTATTTTTTGATCTTCTCGTTCCAGAAAATGGCGACAAAAATGGCCGCCTCCTTGGCCCCTACGGCAGAAACAGAGAATTGCCTGCAATGTAGACTCTGCCACAAATACCACCCTCTGCGCATGTGTGGCGCATTCCGGGCGATGAAGCCGCCACAACGACTTGTGGTAGCCAGGGCGCCAGGCTACTGCGTTAATTGCCTGGCGTTGACGCACACGACGGGCGAGCGTGATTCATCGAGCAACTGTAAACGCTGCCTTAAAGCGCATCATACATTGATGCACCAAGAGGCAGGCGCACAGCGCAAGCCACCCGCAAACGCAGCCCACCAGGTAGTGGCAAGTTAAAGGTTAGCAGCAACAAACAAAGCGGTGTCACCGCCGGCCATTAAGCGCGCGAAACAACAACGTGCGCCTACTATCAAAAAAAGGCGCAGCCACACCAGACGGCGTAAAGCAGCCGCTACTCCAGTTCCGACACCAGCGGGGCGACCGCGAGAAAAGAAGTCGTGAACCATCACACGTACTGCTACGGGCTTACAAACGCCCGCCTTCCGCAACCGCGCTGCCAGAGGCGCAATCAGACACGCAATTGGGCAACGCATCCCTACAGGGCGGGGAGTATGTTTAAGCGTCTGCTTAAACAGCCATACATGTAAATATATAAATAAATGTAACTGCCATGCGAGTGGAATTACCCGTCTTTTCCCACTATTTCCGTGTGCCCCATCACGCACCAATTCCTATATCCTTTTTGGCCAAATTTCGTTAGCTAACGAAAAATCACTTTAAAAACAATATCCCTCGCTCGCGCACGGAAGCTTTAAGCCGCGGTCTCATTTTGTTTTATATATTAATAATTAGCCAAAAATAGGTTTCATTAAAACAAGTTGTGAAATTACATCTATTTCAATTATTAACAAAATCCATTTGTGAATTCCTTGTACATTGAAAAAAGTGTTTTTTATTAGAATTTTGGGCCCGCTCGACAGCCGGCATCCCCTTACTTCCCCTCAAGTCCTTAGCGACTTGATCATACTCTACTAAAATGATAATTGAGCTTAACCTCGCCTTCGATACTACTGTGTAAACGATGTTTCATTTTCTTTTTCTTTATAGTTGTAAGTGATGCATCTCAGCTGTACTAGAGTGGGGATATTTTCATATATCGGCTCCTAACCGCAGAAAGGGGGTACGCGACTTTATGTTTGATTTCCTGGTTTTTATGAAAATCGTTAACCCACCATGTTATTCATATATATATATAATTGGCGCTTCGTAACTGCTGAAGTGATTTTCGGCCCAGTTCCTCTTCCAAGTTGTTGTTAAGCGTCTTGATGTATTTCCAACAAAATGGAGGGACCTCCGCCTCCGAACGGCTGATGGTTTTTTATGAGGAAATACTCTCTGAGGGGTTGACATTTCCTTCCGAGGGGCGACCGCTATTAGAAAATTTAATTTAATTTTTTATAACTTTTGGATGTTGGTCGCACCGGCATGCAAAATAATGACGTTTTAAGTACAATTAATAGGTTGTGAGAAAAGCAATTTCATTATAATTGCAAATTTGTATCGTACTTATTCTTTCTCACAGAAAACGTCTCCTTACAGTATGTACTTTTCTGGCTAGCCCTTTTGGTGTTTAGGTTTTGTTAAGGCAAAGACAACTATTTAGGAAGAACCAAGAAATGCAAAGGGAGCATTCTGGAGACTATTTTACTGTAGTGACAGGAAGGCAAAGTTAGGTTACGTACATATACTGCATATCATATTTTTACCCATTATCTTATATTTATTATTTCATTCAATATGTTTTTATAATAGATTTCAACGAATGTGTTTTGACGAATCCGTGCAGCCCGCATCAACGCTGCATCAACACAAATGGTTCCTACCGTTGCCAAAATTTATTGCAATGCTCTGCCGGCTATAAGTCAACTCCGGATGGTGCGCAATGCATAGGTAAGATGATGAGGTTCCTTCAAATGTTTTATTAATCTTTATAATTGTTTTCCTAAAATGTTCTGTACAACATTCACAAAATATTGTCATGCAAGGTTTTATCACTTACAGTATTTGTGGGTAGTGTGTTTGGTTTTGATTGTCATACCTTTTGTTTGAGTCAAACAAAAATATCAACTTGCTTATGGGACCTCTTGATTCCGTCCTTTGCCACAGCAAATGGCAAAGATTAAGGTTGCTGTTGCTAATTGTCTCACACACGTTACACAGCATTTATGCAGAAATCCAAGATTTGTCCTGAATCCTCACTGGAAATTATAAAAAAATTGTCCAAATAGCACTGATTAACTACAATAATATATACAACCTTAAATTTCCGACAAGGCTTTCGTGATCTGAAGTTGAATGTATATGTCAAATCTTGAATTTTTACATCTTTCGTTTTGCATTTTTAGCTTTTATTGGATGAGTGCATAAGTTCGTGCCCGATTTCAAGTGCAAACTAAAATTGCAATTCTTTGATGAAAGCGCTTTTATTAATCAATTATGTATTCGCCATCATGTTCGGCAATCCATTCCCAACGTTCAGCCAATTTACGGATGCCTGATTCATAGAAATCGCGCGATTTCTCGTTGAAAAAGGTGTCAAGGTGGTTTTTGACATCTTCCACATATTTAAATTTTTTTCCATTCAAATTGTTCTGCAGCGATCGAAACAAATGATAATCAGAAGGTGCAATGTCGGGTGAATATGGGGGATGCGGCATGATTTCCCAATTCATCTCCTTCAGTTTGGCCAGGGTCGGTTTTGCAACATGTGGCCTGGCGTTGTCATGATGGAAAAGAACTCCTTTGCGATTGGCCAAAATCGGACGTTTTTCATCAATTGCTTTCTTCAATTCGACCAATTGCTGACAATACTTGTTGGCAGTGATCGTTTCTCCAGCTGGCAAGAGCTCAAAATAGATCACGCCTCGGATATCCCACCAAATGCACAGCAGTACCTTCATCGGATGCAATCCACCTTTCGACATCGGTTCCGCCCCTTCGTGTGCCTGTTTCCATGTTCTTTTGCGTTGAACATTGTTGTACAGGATCCATTTTTCATCACCAGTCACGAGCCGATCCAAAAAAGGTTCGTTTTTGATCCGTCGAAGCAAAGAAATTGCTGTTGACATACGGTCCACTTTGTTTTTTTCACTCAACTGATGTGGCACCCATGTATCGAGCTTCAAAGTGTACCCAACCTTTTTTAAACGACGAAACGCAGTTGATTTGTTGACGTTCAATTCACTGGCAACCTCTTCCGTCGAAATACGTGAGTTATTCGCAACTAAAGTCCTTAGAACATCGTCATCAAGCTCAGAAGGCCGTCCACTGCGAGGTTGATCTTCGAGGTTAAAATCTCCAGAACGAAATTTCGCGAACCATTTCTTTACTGTGCGGAGTGCTGGAGCACGGTCCAAATAAACTTCGCGAATATCTTTAGTTGCAGCGCCTACTGTTTTTCCTTTGCGGAATTCGTATAACATAATATGACGCATATGATCTTTTTCGTTGTCCATCTTCTATGCGTCTTTTCACAAAGCAAATCAAATCAAAATGAAGTTATTTTATGCTTGATTTACAGTTCGGACTGTCACCTTTCCAACGATATATAATATGTATATATTTCTTTCACGAGCGCCACTCTCAAACGATTCGAACGGCATCCAGCACTCATCCAATATAAGAATCTAACAACTTTGGTTTATCATGCTTGGTTTGTTTAACAAGACAATAATGTTTCCGTGTTAATAACATTTAAAAGAGCAGAAAAACATATTGCTAACCACTCGGCTTTTGCGGCCGAATAATTTCCATCCTTCAAGTTGGAAGATCCTCGCTTGCTTACTTACTTACTGCTGTTTATGTTAACAAAGCGAGAATTTATTGTTGATAAGGTGGATCACATTCTATCATTGGATCTGTTTCGGTCGTTAGCCGCACCTCCTAGAGAAGAATAACCTCAAATCAAATTAACATATCAAGTTATCATCGAAAGAGGAAAACATCTCTGAATGTACGGAAGAATTGGATGTACAGAAGAATTGATGCTAACCTTAGGCATCTCGTTAAATTTTCGGGCATAATCGACATGGATGGTAACGATCCGGGCAGGGCGCAGTGATCCATTAGCCAAGCGTGATACCAAATGAGATTATCAGGCGACTACCGAAAGTTAAGTGATATCACGGAGAAAGACATTTATCCTTTGAAAACGATCGACGACGCCCCTTGATCTGAAGGGCGTCAATTAACGATTTGGAAAAATTTATATGCCATGTACCTAAAGGACTACATTAGAAAACTTTCTGTTAGTATCAGAACGATATAGTTGATCGGGTAAACCTTTTGGAGAACAAATCGCATGAATCGTGAAGTCTTATTTCCTATGAGCTAACTGTGAAAGATATATGTTTTGTTGGCTATAGACTATTTCGAAAAAAAAACAAGAAGTATAACGTTGAGGTTAAAATACCTAGTACGAATGTCAATCACAAAAGGCATCAGTTTGTGTGAAGCAAAATTGGTAGACTGTGACAGTTATATAGTTTGTCACTTTAGTCACATTGGAAAGCTTTAGGTTTAGGTATTGAGTAACAGGTTTTATCAATGCTTTACAACAAATTTGGTTCTAATGTCAAACCAGTGAACGAATCCGAAGGATTTGGGAAATAATCACTGCAAATACTTGCTCATATGATTTCTATTAAAATTATTTAATAATTATTGTTATTCTAAATAGAATTTTTCCATTTCGGTAGTGTCCGCAAATTCCAGCGATAATATTTGCAAAGTATCGATTTCAAGGGATAAAGCTATGCAGCTTTTTGAATTTATTTTGTTTGTCTTTTATTGTATTTAGTATAAAAATTAAATTATTTAAAGAGTCTTTACATGTGAATTTTTCTCAAGGTCTAAAGTCTTTGAGATAAGTTATTTTTCAATATGGTACGCTTATTTCAATTGCCTCGGTTGCCTTCGTTTTATCGCATGATATTGTTTTATCTGTGTTTTTTTTTTTCAATATACTCGTAGTACACGTATATAAATTTTATTTTATATTACTAATGGGGGTATATAGTAGAGGGACGTGCTGTTGCTATTGAAAATTTTTTGATTAATTATACTTCTATCTGTATCCTATCATTGTGTATATTTGGTGTCAGCTAATGCATATTGTGCAATCATTATATGGACTAGGGTTTTGCTGTGTATGCAACGTTTTCGGTAGGTGTCCGTATCACACAATGTGTCTACGCCAAGAATAAGTTTCTGTTTACTATTACCTGATCTTGGATAGCAAGTGTGTCTTTGAGTGCAGTACCCATATTTAGAAGAGAGAGTGTTAAAGGTTTTTTTTAATTTGTTTTGTTTGTTTATTCTTTTGCATTCTTACATTCTCTCTCTCTCTCTATCTCTCTCTGCTTATCTTCGCTTATGAGCAATGGGCTAATCATGGCTTTATTACAGTACCTCTTTAACTGTGATATTGCAGTTTCTAAACTTGTTTTACTTAATTCTTTCAGTGCTTTTGCAACAATTTAGTAACTTTTCTCCTGTTTATTTCTATTACTTCTGTTTTAAACAAGATGTACTTCCGGTTCAAAAAATATTTTTTTTCGCCAGATGCCTAAAAGCTATAATTTCCTATTAGGTATATGTGAGTAGCCGAACGGTTTAAGTAAGTAAATAAATATGTAAATATATAGCACCCGTTTTTATTCCTAATATCCGCAATATTTCAATTTGATATATTCCATTCCGATTTGCAAGTACGAGAAGATAACCCGAGCTGGCAGCAATTGAAGAATATTGTTTCCAGCACATAAGACTGTTTACGCGAGGAGCGTAAGTCCTTGCATAACTTTGAGTGCTGTTCTTCCTTTCGGGTATTTGAGGTCTTGCTTATTAGCATAACTGATCAGCGAAATGATACGACTACAGAGCTTAATATTTGCAATTGAATTGACCTTCTAATGGTCCAGGTTAGATATTGTATCACGTTATCTGATCTCTTTGCCTCCTCCCATCCATGCTCCTGGAGTAAGCGATTGGCGTTTGCGCAGCGTCAGGTACCTCCTGTGGCATTAGATACAGACCACAACTTTTTGCAATGAGCCTAGTGCTCAATTTTAAAACATTTCCCCCACCCGCTTGGACAGGGTTCATGAAGTCGGATATTTGAAGAGGTCTCAACCATAATAGCCGTATATACCCAAAGATGCCATTCAAGTATTACGGAAGTACTATGGAGGGGGCGGAGGGTCTTAGCTTTGCTTATTTTGGATGACATGAGGGGTAGGGGATAGATAATGATTACGTCAATCGGTAGTTATTTACCTTTTTACACGAATGGCAACCCTCACCTGAACGCACCTGAAAACCACAGGCATTTTCGGGGCTCCCACAAATAATGCATACGTTTAGGCACTCGCTTTAGAACCAAGTAGGGGAATTATCGCGCGCTATTCACTTGTATAAATTTCCTCTGCCAGTGTATGGTTCCGTTTGGATACTATTGTATTGTAAGCATAGCAAAGCAAGTTAACAATTGTTTTACTATTGATTCAATTAGCCAAAGTTTAATGTTTAAATAAAATGTCGTTTCAAATATACAAATCCAAGTTATACCAAAAACTGTTTGAAAGTTTTAAAAAATTCCATACAAAAACGAAGGTAAAAAATGTACAAAAGTTAGTTAACGAAGTGGCGAAATTATAAATTACAAGCCACGTTCGACAAAGAACTAGATATTATTGTATCTAAGAGAATTGAAAAAGAATTGCAAGCGGTGACTAAGAATAAGTCCAATCTACTACATTTTTTTCAAGGTGAGTGACGAAATCATTTTAGGTATATATGAGTACTAGAAATATTAGAAATCGCCAAAAACTTTAACTTTACATTTTGTAACAATAATATAGACGTTTTATGATTAGAAAATATTATGGGCTATCTCAAAGTATAGAGATAATAATAATTATATTGATTTATTTTTTATGAT